TTATTTAATTAATCTCTTAAAGCACGGCGTATAACCTATAATAAATTAGCCGACTCGAGTAGCTTTCTGATCCGCTTCCCTAATTGATAACATATTTACAAAAAATACCATAAAATGTAACATTCAAAGCGGAATAATAAAATCTTAAATAAGTGACTATTTTCCATATTTCTTCTACTTAACAATTTCAATAACAAAAAAAAAAACAAAAAAAAAAAAAATGATTATAACAAAAAGGCAGATAAATCAAAAAATAGAGAGTTCCAAAGCAACTTATCAATGGAAAACTGAAATCAGGTTATTAATTGCAAATATACTAACACAGCTTATAATATTTTTAAACTCACTTTTACAAGATTGTTCGAAAAAGCGTTTCCGAAGCTTAAACAGTTAACTAAACTCAAAACCCTTAAAAGTCCTTGGATGACAAATAAGTTTATCAAAATTTTTTTTAAAAAAAGGAAAGTGTAAAACAAATATTTGAAAAAAAAAGACTTAAAAAAACGAAGAAAAATATAAACAATACAAAAATCTATTTGAAAAATTAAAAAAAAAAACACTCAAAAAAAAAGAATTATTGCAAATTGATAGAAAATTATTGCATGGGGGAGGGGGGGGGGGGGGGTAATAAAAAAGGTAATAGGAAAAAAAAAGATGCTAATAAAGTGTTCCCGCAATACTTAAAAACAGATGAAAATGATACAGTAGCCAATTAGGCAATACATAATACAGAGCAATTTAATACCTATTTTATAAAAATTGGGAAAAAATACAATAAAATGACTTCTGGAAAAAAATGTTATAAATGGAACATAGAAAAAAAGCCTCAGTCATGAACGAGCTTGAAATTACTCCAAATGAGCTTAAAAATGCATTTAATACCTTACAACAAAACAAAAGTGTAGATGACTTTAGCGTAAATGTTGTAAAAAATGTCTACGATATTATTATATATCCCCTTCTGCATATCTGTAATCTGTTTTTAAAAATGGGGTCTTTCCTGGTCAGCTAAAGCTAACAAAATGTTGTTCCATAAATATAAAAGCGGAGATGGTTCTATTGTTTCTAACTACAGGCCTCTTCATATTTTACCATGCATTTCAAAAATATTAAAGAGCATAATGAACAATAGGCTGAACAATTATCTAGTAAACCACCACATGGTAAACAATAACCAGTACGGCTTTTAAAAACACCATTTAACAGAACACGCTGTTGTCAAACTTGTCAATGAAATTTTAAATAGGTTTGACAACAATAAATACACTCTTGAAGTATTTCTCGATCTTTCAAAAGCGTTTTAACAATGTTGACCACGAAATTCTTCTTTATAAACTGTAAAATTATAGAATAAAAATTATCAATTTAAAATGGTTTCGCTCTTACATTAATAATCGGAAACAAGCTTTATCATATAACAATACTGTAACACAACTTGTAAACAACACTTGTGGGGTTGGTTATGGTTATTCTTTGTTTATATTAACGATATCTATTTATCTTCTAACAGAATTAACTTCAATTTTGCTGATGATACGCAAGTATTCTTTAGCCATACAAACATAAGCCTATAACTTAACACTGTTAGTCAACAACTTGGAAACCTAAACGATTTGTTTAAGGCTAACAAAGTAATAGAAAATAAAATATCTTAAAATATTGGTAGTTTCTTTTTGAAGAAAATGTTTTTTTGTAGAAAGAATTCTGGAAATGAAATTTTATTTATGTATTTAATATGAAAAGTTAAAAAAAATAAGACTGTCGTTTGTGGTCATGTAAGTTTATATACATAAGTTTGCGTTTATTTCAGTCTATTTTATATTTCTCTATATCTATATGTATATTTTCTTTTAAGAAAAATAATAAGGAATAGAAAAATTAAAAAAATTCTTCTGGATTTTGTCAAAAGAGTATTGTGTTATGCTTCATTTTAAGGTATCTGAATATATATTTATTAGAAATTTTGTTCTTAAACAGTTTCTTCTTTGTCATTACTTTAATTAAATATACTGACTGACATAACTTCATTTTTATTAACAGCGTTGTGCATTGTAGTCTGCATTCTTTGTTACAATAAAAATTATGGATATTAATAAATGTTGCTTTATAGTTGTTAAAAGTTTGCATAAATGTTATATTATATTATGCTCAAATTTAAAAAGTTTTTGATAAATACGTGTATGTGGTGATATAATTAATATAATTACTTTAAATTGTGTTTATACAAATGTGTTTTAATAATAATATGAAATGTATTTTATCTAATGTGTGCATAATGGTTAAATGAGATATTTTATATGTTATATAACATTAAAGTTTTTTTTTGTGTTTTTAAGTTAGAATATATCTTTATATAATGTTGTTTCTGTGATTTCAAAGTTATGTAACTTGGCTAACGAGTAGAGCAGGATTTGTCAATTACCAGTCAAGCAATGTTACTACTTTAGGTCTAAGTGTTGTCTAGCCTTCAATATAACTATTCTGAAAATACATAACATTATTTTTCATAATTGTTGTTACCTTTGGCTTATTTTTATGTTTGTGTCTGTTGTTAAAAATGATTATTAGGTAGTTTCATTACTAGAACTCGCTGGTCTTATTTCTCCTTAATATAAATAGCACAGTGCATAATATTATGATTAGTGCGAGTAGTTACACCTATTGTTCGATATTAGGTATGGTTCTGTATTATATAAAATACACTACTTCTTAGTTTTTAAGTAGTTTCTAGACTTTTCTTAACCAAGTGCTTTCTTAAAGATGTCGCGACCTTTCATGGTACGAGTTCAAAATGTTTAAGTACACACTAAGAAGATAATATTTAGTAGCTTAAAATTATAGGTAATATAGAATCTTTTTAAAATTTTATATGTAAATAATTTTTTTTAATCTTTTTTTATAAATTGTACGTTTGAATTTCAAACTTCGTGTTATAAACGTTTTTTTTTTTTTTTTTTTGCCAAATATGTGTATAGTATATATACATCCAATCAATATTTCAGATAAATGCAGATGGCTAGGGCAAGAAGAAGACACAATTTGTTTTATCACCAAGCCCCGAGAATAGACTCCGTAAAATAAAAACTATTACTTACAGCATATGTAATTGTATATGCGGTAGTGGTGTAGTGGTAGAGCACTCGCTTCATAAACGAGTGGTTCCGAGTTCGATTCCCACCACGTCCCTGGTAGTACCGCGCTCAACTCGTTTCTCCGCGCAGCGGCCTTGTTCGTCAAAGTTCGTGTTTCAGAGTTATAGAGTTGAGAGAGGGTTATAGCCACAAATAAGTAGCCTCCTCGTCTGTAGTGGCCGTCTCGGCCTTGAGGAGGTGAATTAAATAAAAAAAAAAAAAAAAAAAAAAAAAATTGTAACCAGTAGGGAAACCTGTTGTACCTTTGACCACGTTGTACCTTTGGTCACTCTACTCTTTTGGCGCACTATTATTATTTTAAAAAATCGTGAAGTGCCATTTGAAATATTAGTCCATGACGACTCTTCTCACTGTAAAAAATCATTCATGGGATAGATGGTATCAATTCACAAGTAATTATAAGTTTTTGCACTTTAAAAGTAAATATTTGTGTTAATCTTAATCTGATTTTAAAACTGTGATAAATTGTTGTTTGATTCATATATGACATTAAAAAACATTACCCAACATCTTTTTTTTGTTATGGAAAAGTTTGAATGGTTATGTCTAACCGTAAATGGGTATTAAGACGATAATTGTTAAAGAAACCCATCTCGTGTACCTTTGACCAGACTAGGACGTTGTACCTTTGACCGACAAAAACTGTTTTCTCGTTAGTTTGCGGACTTTAAGAGCACAAATTTATAAAATTTATATCTACTTATTAGGCGTCTGTGCTTTACTGCTTTTTAATGCAAAATTGTTTTTAGTATTATGGTAATGAAATAATTCCATTAGATTTTAATGCAATTCACTATTTTTTCTTGGATCACTACTACACTTAGAATAATCAATTTTTTTAATTTAGTTAGTTGGACAGCTGAAACAATATTATTATCAAATTCATTTTATTACCTAATTTCTGCACAGCTATAGGGAATTAAATGCATAAAAATAGTTAGTTAATTAATTCTGTTAATATATTTTAGTCTTAAAATGCCAAGGAGCAAGGTTGGTGTTTTTCGCAAAAAGATTTCCAAAACAGATATGCTTAATGCAGTGAATTTTGAACTTCAACAAAAAAAGAGTTTAAGTGAAGCTGCAAGATATTGCAACATTAAAAAATCAACTATGATATATTAGTTAAATTAGTTTAAAAATTCGGTAAGTTGCGAATATTTATATTCACATGTTAAACTAAAAAATATATTCTCAACAGAAGAAGAATTAATTTTGGTAAACTACTTGGCAGATGCTGCAAATCTGCATTATGGACTTACATTAAAGCAGATAAGGTCCTTTGCATATGAGTATGCTTTAGCAAATCATAAAAAAATTGAAACTTCATGTATGAAAAATAAATGGGCAGGTGAACAATGGCTGCGAGATTTTCGCAAAAGATATAATAACAAGCTATCTTTACATAAACCACAACCTACAAGTCTCGGTAGATTTTCTGCATTCAATAGAGAAACCATAAGAATTGTATATAAAAATTACAAAAATGTTTTAGAACGTTATCATTTTGACCCATCAAATATTTGGAACTGTAATGAAACAGGAATTACCACAGTCCACGTACCACCAAAAGTTCTCGCTCCAAAAGGCAAAAAACAAAAAGGGAGCATGACTAGTGCTGAACGAGGCAATAATGTAACAACGATAGCAGCAATTAATGCTACTGGAAATAGCATCCTACCATAACTTGTATTTTCACATGCTAAATTCAAAAACCACATGTTAAATAATCGTCCTCATGGAAGTGTAGGAGCAGCTAATAAGTCTGGATGGTCAAATGAAGTTATTTTTCTGCAATTTCTTAAACATTTTATTAGTGCGACCATCAACTAAAAATCTGTTTTTTTATTAATGGATAATCATAAGAGTTATGTAAACATTTCTGTTATTGAATTTGCAAAAAAATCACGCATAGTTTTAATGACATTTCATCCTCACACAACCCATAAAATGCATCCTTTTGATCGTGGTGTTTTTGGACCATTTAAAACTTTTTATAACAATGCCATGAATAACTGGATGATATCACCAGGCAATGCTGGTAAACCAGTTACAATTTATGATATATCTTACCTTGTTGGTCAAGCTTATCCTCATGCTTTTGTACCAAATAATATTATAAACAGTTTTAAATGCACTGGGTTTTATCCATTTAATGAAAATATTTTTACTGATATTGACTTTTTAGCTGCAAATGTTACTATTAGACCAACAGTAAATACTGAGGCTTGCATTTCTAATGAAAGTATTGAAGTTAAAACTGCTCAATCCAGTTTATCATCAACATCACCTATTGTTTTAGGGGAAATCCCTACTGCAAGTTTACCATCAAAATCATTTATCGTTTCACCTGAGATATACGACCTCATCCTAAGACCAAATAAGGAAAAATAAATACTTCAAAAAGACGTAAATTAAAATTGTTCTTGATTCAAAATCTAATAATCAACAATTTAAAAAGTCCTCTTCAAGCAAAAGAAAAACAATGGCAAAACAAATTATTTTTAGTCAGTCTGACACGTGCTTAAATAATGAAAACTCTGACGAAATTGATTTTGGAGTGAATATACTTGATAATGAAAGTGAAATTGTTTCTGGAAGTTTTTTAATTGTCAAGTTGGCCCGAAAGAAATACTCTAGATTTTATGTAGCAGGAGTTATAGAAGCTGTTGGTATAGTTTACAAAATTAAATAACTTAAGAAATCAGGAGACTTTTGTAACAAATTTGTAAGAGAAGATGACAATCTTTATGAAGTGGAACTTGAGGATGTTATTATGAAACTTCCACCACCAAGTATTGGTGGTGGTTCATCTAAACGTCAGTAGCTTATGTTTGATATTATTTGTAATACTTAATATATTATTCTCTTTTATTATTGTATTTTTTGTTGTCATCACTAAAATATTTCCTTTAAAAAGCATTATGATCATATTTAAATGAATATAGTCTGCCAGCTGACAAAATAGCTATCGATATTAAAAAACATGTTTTGTACAATTAAATCGCATTTAAAGATTAGGACCTTAACCCTATTTATTTTATATAGAAAGCATCTAACTAAAGAAACTATGAGACTTTATCTAAATAGTTATAATAACTGATTTTATTTAAAAAAATTAATAATACTATTAGTAATACTGATTGAGTTTTGTAACTTCGATACACAAGTCTTTGCAAGATTGTAAGGATCGATTTTTCTATTTTTTTTAGACAATTAGGATTGATTACAAAATAATTAAATTTGTTTTTTTTTATTGATATAAAGTAGGCCAGAAGTCGCTATATAATATATAACAAGCTAAAATATTTAAGAGGTTCAAACATTGCATAATTTTTTAATAATAATATTTTGGTCAAAGGAACAACGCGCGTCGGTCAAAGGTAAAACGTATGTGTTGTACTTTTGACCAATAGACTTCTTTTTTTAAAACGCGGGTAAAAGACACTTCTTGGTCAAATGAAAAAAAAGTCCTAAGTAAAATTTTTGGGCAAAATATGAGAGAATATTTTAGAGTTTGAATGGTTTATGTTTACTCAATAGACTATGCAAAAAACGTCTTAAAGCAAAAAGTGGTCAAAGGTACAACAGGTTCCCCTATATAAGAAACAAGATTATCTGGTAATAAATATATATTTATTACCAGAATATAGTATAAAATAAAATAAAAATAATTTAAAATATAAAAATAGTAAAAAAATTTAAAAAGAGTAATAAATACATAAAAAATAAAATTGTGCAACATATAACTTGTGAAAAAATTTAGATTCTTTTGAAAAAATCAAATAAAAAGTTACAAATTAGAAAAAATTAAATGTTGGTTTAATTCTTAAAATAAGAATAAATAAAAAGATGTTAATTGATTAAAATTAAATACTAATTAATATTATTAATCAATTGTAAAGTTGACAAAAACTGAATATAAAATAAAATAAAATAAAAATAATTTATAATATAAAAATAAAATTTTTATACTATAACTTGCTCTGAATCTCTCAAATCAATTTATTGTATTGGATCTGAATCTCTCTAAATATATATATATATATATATATATATATATATATATATATATATATATATATATATATATATATATATATATATATATATATATATATACATATATATATATATATATATATATATATATATATATATATATATATATATATATATATATATATATACATATATATATATATATATATATATATATATATATATATATATATATATATATATATATATATATATATATATATATATATATATATATATATATATATATATATATATATATATATATATATATATATATATATATATATATATATATAATTGAAACAAATGCTATATATATATATATATAAAATTGAAACAAATGCTTCTGGTTAGTCAAGGAGTGCATGACTTCTTTTAAAGTTATCTGGTAGTACAGATAAGTTTTTTTAATTTATTTTAAAGTTTATCTTTCCAACTTTTTGTCACTTTGGGCGAATCATAACCTATTTTTATATATTTAAATATATATATATATATATATATATATATATATATATATATATATATATATTTAAATATATATATTTAAATATATATATATATATATATATATATATATATATAATATATATATATATATATATATATATATATATATATATATATATATATATATATATATATATATTTAAATAAATAGGTTATGATTCGCCCAAAGTGACAAAAAAATGGAAAGATAAACTTTAAAATAAATTAAAAAAGCTTATCTGTACTACCAGATAACTTTAGAAGAAGTCATGCACTCCTTGACTAACCAGAAGCATTTGTTTCAATTTTACTTTGAATTTGTTAAGAGTTTCATGAGTTTTAAGTTTATTAGATATAAACTTATTCCATACTTTTGGTCCTCTAATAAATATTGAAAACTCCGTTGCTGCAAAAAAACTTTTAGCCTCAATATAAGTGTTTCTTGAGTATCTGGTTAAGTTTCTATTTTTATTTATTATGAATAACGAATTAAAAATGTTTAGTGTTATTTTTGAATTGACTTTGAACATAAAAATTAAAAGATGATAATTGTTTATTTGGTAGACGGTGAGTATATTTAGCAATATAAATAGTTCTATGGAGTGTATAAAACGGTCTATATTAGATAATATTCTAATAGCATGTTTTTGCTTATTAAAGAGTTTTTTAATTTTGTTTTGATTTGTGCTATACCAAGCTATGTTTGCAAAATTCAGATAAAAATGAATAAAGAAGAAATATAACAATTTTAAACAAGTTTGATTTAATAAAGGCTTCGCCTCATTAAGTAATCTTAGATTTCTCGAGATTTTAGCTTCAAGATAATGTATATGATCTTTCCTAGTTACGTTTTCATTAAGGAGTACGCCTAAAAAATTTAATGAGTCTTCTCTTTTTATAACTTGACTATCAATACAAAGTATTGGAAGTTTTAAGAGGATTTTATCGCGTTCATGAAAGCGTTGAAAAAATGTATACTTTGTTTTAGTGAAATTAATTGATAATTTATTTGCATTAAGCCATTAAGTAAGTTTTAAGAGTTCCATGTTAACTGAGTTAAACAACATTTTTATATCATAGTGAGCGTGAAACAAATTTGTATCATTAGCAAATAAAATAGCGTCTAATAAATTACAAGATTAGCTTAAGCCATTAATATAAATTAAAAATGAGAGTGGTCCTAAAATTGACCCATGGGGAACTCCGCAGTTTATATTCATACTCCTAGTTTCTCCGCAGCTAAAAGAAATATTTTGTTTCGTATTTGACAAATAGAACCGAAACGATTTAATATTTGAATTTTTATTCCTGTATTTTTCAAACTTATTTATAAGAATATAATGATCAACAGTATTAAATGCTTTGCTAAAATCAATAAAAACACCTAACGTATAATTATTTTCATCAAACGCTTGAAAAATATTTTGAACAAGATGAATAATGGCTTGATCAGTGGAGTGATTCTTTTTAAATCCGAGTTGTTTATCATTCAGAACATTGTTATTTTCTAAAAAGGTAAGTAATCGGTGATACATAAGGTATTCTAATAGTTTAGAAAAGTATGATAATATTGGGATTGGTCTGTAATTAATTGATAATATTGGGATTGGTCTGGATACGCTTGTAACATCTCCTGATTTGAAAGCAAGGACCACCCTTACAAGTTTAAGTTTATTAGGAAAAATTCCCTGTTCTAGAGACATATTAAAAATACGCTTGAATGGAGATTTTAAATAAAAGATTAATTTTATTATTATATTACTGCAAACATTGTTTAGGCCAAGACCTTTTTTAGGATTTAAAAAAGAGACATCATTAGAAAATTCTTTTTCAGTTAATTTATTGTTTTTCATAGGGTATTATTAGAGGTAAGGTATGATTTAAAATCAGATTTACTTACTTTAATTTTTGGTGCTAAGTTTACGCCTGAGTTAACAAATGCATGATTAAGCGACTGAGCAATTAAAGATTCATTAATAATTTCACAGTCATTTATAATGAGTTTTTTTAAAAGACTATTACAATTTGAATTTTTTTTACCTACGACCTCTCTAATTATGCACCATATTTTTTGAGAAGTGTTTTTAAATTTTATTAAATGGTTGGTATAATACGACTTTTTTGAATTTTTTAAAATGGATTCAAAAAGTCGTTTGTAATTTTTGTAATTTGACTCCTTTTTAAAAGTTTTTTTTTTAATAAATTTTTCATAGAGGCGTTGTTTTTTTTTTTTAGATGATTTTATGATACCCGGTGTTATTCAAGGGTTTTGAAAAGATTTTTCTTTAATAAATTTTATAATTTTTAGAAATGCTTTGTTATAGTGGTTTTGAAATACCTGATTGAAGCTGTTATAAAGCTATATCAGTATTTTTGGTTTCAGAACTGGTTCCCAGTCTGTGGAAAATAGAAGAATTTTAAAATGAACAATAGAAGCGTCATTAGATATTCGTTTAGTAATTTTTATATCTTCAGAAATTTTTATAAGTTTTTGTTTTGTTGATATTATAAAGATTGGAAAATGGTCTAAGATGTTTGTTACAAATCTTCCTGTTTTAATTTAAAGCTAGTAAAATAGTTAATTATAACTTGATCTATGGAGGTAGAGCTATCTTTTGTAACTCTCGTTGGTTTGTTTATAGTTGGAATAAAACTATTTTGATATACATTATTGCAGAAATTTCTTACGTTTTTATTTGTGTCACATTCTTGTACGTTTAAATTAAATAAAAATTAAAATGTTAATATTGAAAATACTTCATGCTTTCACATACTTTTAATGATTGGGATAAAAGCCGTTTTTTTCATAAATAAAATTTATATTTAGCATTGCTAAAACTTTTGCTCTTTGAAAAAAATAA